GTTGTAGCTTCTGCCAGAGAATAACAGGTAAGAACTGCTGCTGACTGCCTAATATCTCAGTGAGGGTGCATTTCCGTCAGGGTGATATCCCTTAGCCTTTCTCCAACCAAGTAGTACCCACAAGTCAGTGGGGGCTAGGGTTTTGAGGGACCTTATACTTGCCTTAGTCTGGAGGTTACAGCATTGTGCTATTTTATAGAAGCTACCCCATCATGAGTAGCCCCACTATGGTGCTACCAGTACGTCCAGTTGGATGCAATTTACGGTCATACCCGGGACCATGAACAGCTATAATACAAATTGAGGGTGCCCTGTACACAAGCTGGGACATGATGTAATTGCAGCACATTGGAGCAGACCATTGCCGTGCTCCAGGCAGCCTCCGCATCTCTTGTATCAGTGTCCCTACACTTCAAAATGGTGGCAGGGGCACTTTAGCTAAAGCTCCTTCAATGAGATTCAGATAAAGCGCCCCCCTCACCATTTTGAAGTGCAGGGATGATGATACATGACATGCTCCAGGTACTTTAACTAGAGTGGCTCTCAGAGGCCCTCTTCCCAACCACAGAGCATGTGTAAAAATGCCTTGAATTTACTGGTAAGAGATGACACTCAGACCTTGAGCCCCCAATTCTTTGCTAGTTTTGTGATGTGCCCTTTTAAAGGACGTCTTTAAGTATGGAACTTAAGTGCTCTTCAGGTATGATATAGCAGGTTTATAATCAATAGTAACTCATCACAGGTTCCTAAAATATTTTTATACAGAAAAAGAAAATTCTGTTCAATTTTTAAAAAATGTTTTGTTCCTGAAGTTGAATGTAACTAATGCATTATTATGAGGCATAACCAAATGGGGGTCCATAACTACATGGGGGTCAAGATAAACAGCTTGTTCTATACAACTATTGGCTCAGTTTAGCATGATAGAACATCTCAGTAAAGGGAGATGAGAAGGGGATACGCCATAGGGGGAGCTATTTGTGGTCCAGTGTGTCTAAAAGTGTATTTGCACTCCTGTTATCTTTTCAATGGAGACAGTATAAATATCCTACAAGGTTCAAGAGTGTTTAATGAGGAAGGGACTACATTGCTATTAGTGGATTTAGTTTTCAAAACTCATGAAGGATTTTGCAATATTATAACTAGAGGTGTACCGATACATCCGTCTGATATCAGATCAGCACCAATATAAAGAAAATTTTCTGTATCAGAAATCAGCCCAATGTGTCTGATAATTTGTCCTATAAATGCCCGTGCATACACACAGCCGCAGCACAGCACAGCCCGTAGGCAAGGAGGAGCAGAGCTGGCAGCATGGAGTGCTGCATGCAGCTGATAAGTCTGGTGTGGTGAAAGGGGAAGGGGTGGAGGAAGGGGGCTGCAGATCAAGGCCCTCGTGGTGAGGGAGGGTATGGGGTTGGGGTTGGGGCAGGGGCTGCCCACCTGGGGACAGGACAGGCACGGGATGGAGGTGTGGCTCATCCGGCGGGGGGGGCTCCTGCAGTTGCGTGCAGCTTGTCCAATGTTCATCTGGCAGCTCCCACTGCTGCTTCCGCTGCTTGTCTGGGAGGACATGGGGAGGCATGTGCCCCCGGATCTGGGCAGGCTGGAGCTGGGTTCTTCCCAACTGGGAAGATCTGAGGTCACATGCCCTCCCCATGTCCTCCCAGACAAGTGGCCTGAACAGCAGTGGGAGCTGCCAGATGAGCACCAGACAAATCACGTGAAGTGACGAGAGCTGCCTCCCCCACCCCTCCCGTGCCCCCCTTCCCCGATGAGCTGTGTCTCTGTCCCACCCCAGCCCTGGTCCCAGACTGCAGCTGCAGCCTGCCCCAGGCCGTGCAGATCTAGGGGGCACATGCCCCCTCCCGCCCCCTGGATGAGTTGCCTGCAGCTGTGTCCCGCACCCCTCCCTGCCCTGGCTGGTCAGAACCTGCCCCTGCCCCTGCCCCTACTCCAGTCCCATTCCCTCCCTCACCTCAGGGGCCTTCATCTGCCCCCACCCACACCCCTTTTTTCCCCTTCCACCACACCAGTCTTACCAGCTCGGTGTGACTCTTCAAACCGAAGAGCTGCGTATCAGAAATCAGATCAGTATCCTGATATGCCTCCTTAAAAATTGGCTATCAGTGTCAGCCCCCAAAATCTCTCTCAGCGCACCGCTAAATATAACCAAAAAAGGAAAACATAAAAAACCCTACGGTATTTTGGATTTAAAACACAGTTGCTAATATTTCTAATAAGAGATAGTGTTTTTTTTAACTTAAAATAAAGATACCTTTTTCAAACATTTAATTTACACTGCCTCAGTCTCAGCTTCTTCTAGAGTGACAGCCCAGACCTATCAAATTCTTCCATCTCTCACCGAAGGCGATACTACTTTATTGTGGTTTGGCAATTAGATTTTCTTCTTCTGTTCTCTTGGATGGAGGAGTTGTCAGATTTTCACGGTGAAGATTTTATCTATAGGTTTGATTCCCCTATTCTCAACACCTCTCTCCCTCTGCCAGCTATTAGTGACAGCACAAAACTATTTTAACTTTCTGTCTCTAATTCTTTTTTATCAGATGCATGGTTTCCAAATGTCTACATTTTCCTTCTTTCTCCTGGTTCATTTGTCTTCCTTCCTCTTTCCCTTTCTCTAATAGTCTTGCTGTCAGGATTAGACTGCCCATGTACTTCAGTGTGCTTTGATTATAGTTCACAAACCAAATGTATGGATAATTTTAACTGAATTGGTTGATCCTAAAAGTCCTCTCTATCTACCTATAAGGAGTTGTGTCTTCATGCTCCAAGATTGGGAGTTACATCTATGGAGGCTCCATCATATAGTATTTCTCATTAATTCCACCTCCATGTGGTTAGAGTAGCTGTCACTGCTACTGCTGTACTATGCAAATAGCATAACAATGATCAAAGTGATGGAGAGAGACGGAATAAAAGAAGAAACAGGGAGTGACATTAAAATGAGAGGCACCAGTGTGCAAAACATAAGAAGGTAGAGGAAAAATAACAATTATAGAATCTGTTGGGGAGCAGGGAAGAGGAAGGTATATTTGCACACATGATGAAGGAAGAAAGAAGTAGATAAACAGTATGTGAGACTTGTCAGTACTTGAAAGTTAATTTGGATGAAGACAGTGTTAATTTAAAGCTTAATTGCAAACTCCTTGATAACTGCATACATGAATACTCTTACTCTGGACTCTTATTCTGTAATTGCTATTTCAGAATATCTTCATGTGCAGCCAAACCCACAGCAACCAAGATGTTGATGCAGACACACGTTCTGAAAATGTAGAGTCAGTACCTACAATTATCAATCATAGTAGATGGAAGTGCATTTACAGTTGTCAACTCAACTTCAGCGGAAGTTTTGGCATGACCTGACCTCTAGGTAGTTTCTTGCTGTTTTTGTACCACTCAAAAGTACAACAGTGCAAAGTGCAGCAAACAACATACAGAATGATTTTGTAGACATTTCCCTTCATGAGTAAATTCCAAACTTTGAAAGAGATCTAGTTAGATTCAAACCTACTTTAACATGCTGCTTTTCTAGAAACAGTATCAGAAAGATAGATTCTGAAGCATTTTTATAGTATGTTCCAAAACATTTAAAAACTGTCAATGATGAGGAAAAATAAAAATTGTTTGATAATTTCAGAGCTGAGTAAGGGATTTAGTCACATAATTCCCATAGGAGCTATTGCGAATTGAGTGCCTCTTGGAGGGTTTTGACAGTCTTAACCAGTTTGCATTTGTTTATGTGAACACATGCAGATGATGAAGAAAGAAATGTGTATAAGTTAGAATATTCTAGAATAATCAAAACAAAACCAAAACCTGATACAATATAATGATGATTTGCTCAAACAAAATAACCTTCTCAGCATTTTGTCATCTATCTCTACCCCATGAATTCATAATTAATTCATAATTAAATTAAGGTAAAAGTAATTTTACTCATCTACCCATGAGAGAGAGAGAGAGACTACATTTATATATTGGCATATGTAGACATTTTACCAGCATAGTTAAGAATGGCTACCTTATTCATGATTGAACTACAGAGATTGTAGCAAAGATGAATAATAATAAAACCTTTGTGCCACACTATCAAGCTTATCTACCTGTCTTAATGCACTGTAGACCTATGCATAGGACCATATATTATTTAAGTGTGTTATATGAATGTTGAACTAAAAAGAAAGTTATACAATAGACATTTTCAGCTAGCTGGAAAAATTAGCTAGCTTTATGCACATTGATCTTATAAAACAAATCCATAGGTTTGAACCTATACATTGTCTTAGGAAAGACCCCCTCTCATATGCAGCCCCACTGACATGGGTAATGAATGTTAATACTCTACTGAAGGGGAAGTTATGCCCGCATAAAACGAACTGTACAATTCTGACCTTGTTGTAATTTTGCTTTAAAAATTAATCTAGTCCATAAGGGCGGGGGGAAGCTTTTTGGCAGGCATGCCACAAATGAGCCCCATACTCTCCACAAGTGCCACTCCAGTCCCCTTCCTCTGCCCAATCCGCTACTCTGCTTTCTGCTCCCTGCCCAACCTGTTGCTGTTTTCTGCATCCTGGTATATCTCCTGCTGTGATATCTGTCCCCTCCCCAGTCTCCTGCATGCCACACACAGAGGCTGCCTGTGCCACTTGTGGCACATACGCTGCAGGTTGGCCACCCTTGGTGTAGTTGATTGAGCTATACTCACTGTATAATGCAATCCTAATATTTTTTTTTAAATGGTGTGATGTAGAGCTATGCCAGTCTAGTAGAAGTGAGCCTTGGAAGTGGGGCATTACATTTTCTGAGCTATGTACTTCAAAAGCTGTCAAAGTAGCTGTTACCTCCTGTCTTGGAAGCTGTCAGAAATCTATAAATAAATATAGAAAATTCAGAAATAGAAAACAATCTTCTACTAACTGTTAGTGCTATTGTTATTAACTCCCTTGTTTATTTTCCTTTTTGTCTTTTTACAGTGTGTCCTATTCAGTACATGTCTCTGAGGATTATCCAGGTATAGTGAAACAGTCTTATTCTTGAAGCAAAATCAGTGTTACAGCATTTTTCAGAGGTTGAAATGAAGATATTTGAAAATGCATTAATGTGTTCTAGGAGCTTCTTTATGCTAATCACTTTCCATTAGTTAGATTGTTTTCACAGCTATTTCTCCTTTTCAGCCTTCATTTGTCAGCAGGGTCAGGGTGAGAGAAACCTGGCTCATGAGTTTTCTGAGAAGGGGGTTGTGACACTTAGCATGCCGTGAGCTGTCAGTGATGGGAATCTAAAAACTTCACTCCTGTTTGGTATGAACATAGGGCTTGATCCTACAAGATGCTGAACATCCTGGCTCTAATCCAGCAACTATGTGCTAGAATGCAGGGAAACTACTCTGTACTCTTGAAATGAAGCATGTGCTTAGATGCTTTTACTTTATCAGAGCTTCACTTTTCAGGATTACAAGGGTTATTTGACAAAGTGCTCAATATCTGTAACACCCTAGTTTTTTGAATCAGCAAGAAATTAAAGGGAAACCTATTTCATATGTAATGACTGCAGAAATTGAGATTCATAAAATATTCAGAAATGAAAATCACAATTCTTAATAGTTATATTTCATAATATTGATTGATTGCTAAATAGAACCAACTGTGAATTGTTGTACTAGTAGACTAAAATATATATGTAATTTATTGATAACTTTTCCTTGCAGTAAATAGTGATAGTGTATTTCATTGCTACAGTTTCATAAAGGCAAGTATCTAAATGTTGAATTTCCTCCTAAAACTAAATTACAAGCTAAAGACTAGCAGTTAATCCTACTTTAAATGATAAATTTCACATCCTGATAAATTCCTCATCTCCCTTCCTCCCCCTTAGTGTCAGCCCCTGTTCCTTCTTTAGCAGAAACTCAAGTAATAGATGCAGTTTGCAGCATGTCTTGAAGGACTATAGCTCTGGGTGATTTCGAACCAGGTTGGTTCTAAAGCTGATTAAATATTCTTTAGCAGAGAGAGTTAGTTAGTTGTGCTAGTCTGGAGTCAGTCAGAAATCAGGGTAGATATGCACTTTTATAGATTAACAAACTAAGATATAAAACTAAATATATATTCTTTATCATAAACCCTTTCCTTTCCCTCCCAATTTTAAATCCAGTTAGGTTATTAACATTGTATAATATTACTAATTTGGAATTGAGGAATAAAATCTGTGACTGTTTACTGATTCAAACCTAATTGTTCATGCCTGTCCATACCATACATCTTGGAAACAAGCTGGTTTCAGTCCTGATCCAATCTTTTGCAATAGGTATACTTGGTATGTTATGAATTGCATCAGTCAAGATTTTTTTTTTCCCCATTGGTAATGACTTCTCTCACAGTTCACGGAAATCTCATTATATTCTTGCTACTATTCTATAGCTCTTATCCCTAAAAAAAAAAATAATTTATTGGACCGGCCAAGTCAAGTACAGTCAGGCCTGCACACTGGACCAAGTTCTCTTTGGCTGGTCTAGTGCAGGTTTCACATGCAGTGTATGCCCTAACTGGTCCAGGTGCCTTATGCAGCATATACCCTGGACTGGCACAGTGTGCCATGCGCTGTATTTGGGCCAAGGCTGGGGATGGCATGTGCATTTATTGGACCTCGTTTTCTGGTCTAATTGGGAAGAGAGGAGTGTTTGCTACTCCCTAGTTGTAGATTACCTGACTAGATTGTATTGCTTTCTTTGTTCAGTCCCCTGCACTACCTATCAGAAAGGGGGTGGTGTATGTTGGAGAGGGGGTGAGGGTCATGGTCATATTGAGTTGTGTTGGACATTGAACACAATAATAGAGTGCTCTGGCTATCTCCAGCTGGAAAATGATCTTTTGGGTACTGCTACCAGACCAAGTGATCCCTTAAGGACAGCATACAATTACTCAGGTGAATAAATCCTTGAAAATCAGGGTTTACGTTAATTAGCTGACATATGTATCACACTTCCATATTCTATGGTCCAGGCATGGAGGAGGTGAATAGAGACTAAAAAGTGGTTATGCATATTTTTTTTTGGAAATACGTAAGAGGAATATCAGAAAAATATAGTCATCGTGCAAACTGCTCTTATATTTAATAGGTCATGAATGCTGAACAGTTCAAGTTACTATAGGATTTTGGTTGTTAACTTGACTGAAGAGAAAACTTCAGGTAAATTTGTAAATATAGGACACAAACAAGACACATTTGCTACAGAGTAAATTGACTTTGCTTTATAGGAAAAGCAGTGACAAATGGCCATAAACTGGTAAAAAAACACTCCACATCCTTAAGAATGTGACATTTTAAATTAAGCCAGTATACAGATCAGATGGTCATCCCCTTGTCAGTTAATCCTGTGGGTAGACTTTTGCTCAATACAAACTGGCTCCCTGCCACCTAGTGATGAGGCACTGTATTAGCAACTGCTTCAGGCAGTCAGTTTGAGACAGCTATTTTTGTGTGTCTGCTCCTTCCTACAGCATAAATTTACTACAGAGTAAAATCCAGGGTAAATTTCTCTAAAGCACTCATGTCATGTGTCACATATATGACACGTGTTATGCAGAAGGCACCTTTATAGACTAACTAAATCTGAAATGTGTAACAAGCTTTCATAGGCAAAGGGCTTACTTCATCAGATGCTGTGAAGGGATTGCAGAAGCAGACCTGCTAATACAAAGGGTCAGGTAGGGAAGGGAAGGAGAGACACTGCTGGAAAGGCAAGGTGAGTAGAAGAGAAAAAAAACAAAGCAGTTAATTTACTGAAGGACAAAGAGTTTATGAAAGGTAATCTAGTAATAGAGTAAGAATCCACCATCCTGGTTTAGACCAGGGGTGTTAAAGATCTGGCCTGCAGAGGCCTATTATTCAGCCTGTAGGTCTCAGATTGGCCCTGCACAGTGCATGCGACAGCCCCAGCCCTACATGCTGCATGCGACCTGTGAAGCTGATCTGATGTGTGGTGCACATGGCACAGGGGCTGGATTGGCATGCCAGATCAGCCCTGCACATTGGATCTAGGGCTACTCTGGATCAGACCCATAGACAGTCCCCATGTGCTGGATCCAGAATGCAGGACTGGACTGGCACATGTGCCACTTATAGCATGTGCCCCGGACTGACCCCACGTGACTCAAGTTTCATGAACCTGGAGCCAAAGCATACTGTATGCAGTGCGAGGGGCTGGTCCAGGGTGTGTGCTTCACTTTCTGTCCATGCCAGAACAGCTCTGCACACTGGATGCGGGGCTGGTCTGGGTCAAGTACACAGTCAGGCCTGCACACTGGACCAAGTTCTCTTTGGCTGGTCTAGTGCAAGTGTCACATGCAGTGTGTGCCCTAACTAGTCCAGGTGCCTTATGCAGCATGTACCCTGGACTGGCACAGTGTGCCATGCTCTGTATATGGGCCCAGGACTGGGGATGACGTGTGCAGCATGGGGTGCATGGGACAGGAGCTGGTATTCACATTTCATGCAGCCCATGGGGCTGGTTGAGGGCATGCACTGTGTGCATCATCAGTGCTGGATCAACCCTACCACTTGGTTCAGTATGCAGGCTGGTCTGTGGGCTCGATACAGCCCACAGACTGCCCCCTAAACTGGATAAGCTTGACACCCCTGGTTTAGACTGAATTAATGCAATCCAGTCCATGGATGATTTCTTGTTACCCGTTTTCCTGGTCAAGTTCATTTTTAAGTTTTGTTGTCCAAAATCAGGTACTGTGAGGTCAGCAGTGGACTGTCCGCAGAGGTTAAAACACTACCATGGGCTTGTGTGGAACTGAGGTCAGATCAATGTTCATTCATTCTTACACATGGGAGTTGCCCTGTTTGTCCAGAGTAGTCATCAAAGAGGCATTGTAAGCAAGTGATAGTGTATATGATGTTGGTAGAGATGTAGGTGAATTGAGAGCTGCTGGCACAGAATTTCTCAATATGCCGTTATATTTATGACAGACCTTGAAGTCTGCTTCAGATTCTTACCCCATTACCTGGATTATTTTTCATAAACCCTGTGTCCCTCACTGGGTTAACTTCTTTGTTTTCCTCTCCCCTACCCGCCTTGCCTGTTTCAGCATTTCATCTCATTTTTCCTCTTCCCTTCCCTACCCTTTGTAATTAGCAGCTCTGATTCCTGGAGCCCCTTCTCAGCATCTGATGAAGTAAGCCCTTTGCCTGTGAAAGCTTATGCTATACAACTCTGATTTAGTTAGTCTGTAAAAGTGAAAATCTCTCTTGCCTTTTTCCTGACTTCAGACTAAAATATGCAACTGTCTCTCTCTGCCTATATTACGTGCACACAAAAACATCTGAGGTATCATGGAGATATTAGCTTTATGCATTACTTTATGTGTATCTCATCACCAATATGGCATTGGTATTAGTGTTGATATCTCCTTAATATGAATGAACTGTTTCACAAACTTCTGAGAGATTTAAAAAAATTTGATTGTTAATCATTTATACTAAAAACAGAATGAGATGCAAGAATTTTTAATAATGGAAACTATTGGAAAATTTCAGATACAAAGCGAAAGCTAAAACTGTTCTTATACCACCCTGAGGAACATAAATAGCAATGGTGTTGAGAGAATAATGCCTCAGTGTTGTTTACACATTGCTGAAATTATGAAAGTGTCACTGATATTTTTAGAAAATGCAATAATGGCTCCAATAAATCTCTTTGAAATGATTTCTTCATCATATCGACACATTATAAAAAGAATTATGTTCCAAAGGAGCTGTTATGGTGTATAACATCAATGAGTAAGCAAAACTTCCATTAATAGGAATCAATATAGTCTAGCTTCCTGAGCCTTGTGAGAGACATTACCATATAGTGAGTATTTTTCTCATGAATAAATGTCTGTAGTGATGCACGCTGGTTGATGTTTTCTGAAGAGCCATTGTTGTCTGTTGTGCCAATGATGTGTGGATTTCTCACATATTGTGTTAATGAAAACATCTTTCTGTTCTAAAAAATCAGTTGGTATCATTACCAGCTATAATAATGCCCTGAGGCTTGAGGATCCTGATGTTGCAGTGAACGGGTCTCTGTGTCCAGGCATTGTATTGAATATCCTGCACAGGTCTCATTGCAGGATCAGGGCCAAGAAAGTAAACCAGAGAGAGAGAGAGATTTAAGTTTCAAGTTCCATTAGGTTTACTAGTAGAAAAAAAATCAAGAGTTGCCATTAGGGGAAAAAATTGGCAGTGCAAACTGTATTTTCAGGTTTCCAAAAGAGAACGACAGTGTGCAGTGAAAGAGATTATGATTAAAAATCTATAAAAGATGTAATGGAGTATCCTTTTACTTTGGTATATGTAGATGTTAGTCATTTTATATGCTGTAGGTAGTTTAGCATGCTATGCAGTACAGATGCTTATATTTCCTGCCATCTCCTACACTACTATTTTAAGTACGAGTACATAGATTTGCTTTCTCCCATCCTTACATACTTGGCATATTTAGACCCAAATTGTGACTTATGCAAACTTGTTAGAGTACATAGTGGAGAAGCTGTGTACTCACATATCGGAAGGAAGCTTGCATGTGTTACATACCCAGAAATAATCATGCAGATGTACACCCAACACTGTGAATGTTTCATGTCATATCAATGAGAAAGGCAGGTGCAACACGCAAATAGATGCGCAGCTCCCTGTCAAAGGGGCACAGTGATTCAAATCTGTTTTCTTAGGCAGAGCATACAACACAGGGTGCCAATACATGGGAAGCTGTACCCACCACAAACTGAACTGGCTGAACAGCTGAAACAATTCCTGTGCATGCTGTGTATTGTCTGGGGTATGCTATTCAAGAGTGAGGTACATTAGTTTGCAGACATTAATTTGATGCCGACCTTTATTGACCTATGTGCATGTTATCCAAGCAAGGCCTTGGTGAGGACAATGTAGCAGAAGTAGGAGGCGATGGTGTAGGGTAGTATATGGCTCTGTTGGTCACTATATGAATGAGAATGAACTCTACATGACTTCCTTTCATGAACTAGGAAGTCACATCATTTTCATACACACATGGCAATGTAGCTTCTTATCCACAAAGGAGGTGGGGGGCATTGTAGCTAAAGATCAGCTGATGTAGCTGCAGGAGAGGGATATATGGTAACTGCCATATGAGTTCATGGTTTGATCTTTGACAGTAAGCTCATTAGGGTGGGGTCCATGTCACAGTATATCTGTAAAGAGCTTAAGCACCATTGGGTCTTGATCTTTGTTCGGGGCTCTGGGTCCTGCTGCAATATAGATTTTAAATCATATTAATAGTAGTAATAATAAAATGTATATGATCTTATCCTTCAACTAGAAGCACTTCGATGGTCACACTAAAGTCAAAGGGGTTCAATGAGCACAAGTACTGGTTTAAGTGCTTTTCTGGATTGGGACCAGGATGGTCAGCATTACTGAGTCCTTGTTTTGACTCTTTTTTTTAACCAAATGTATTATTTTCAACCCATACAACCAACTCATTCAATAGAAAACAAAACGTGTTACCAATCAGTGGCTGTTTAATGTTTCAGTGGAAATTATTTCCAGCAGAGATCCTTCTCACAAAGAATACCCTGCACCTTGTTACTCATCGCTACAGATGGGCTCAAGGGACCTACAGTTCAACCACTTCCTCATACTTCTTGTTTTTGGAGAGAGTGGATTTAGAATCTCTGATTAAAACTCAAACCTACAGGTTTTAAGATGAGAAAGGCTTTCTGTAATCTGAATCAGACAAACAGTTTTCTAGAATTGTTGTTTTTGTGTATATATGATCAGCCAGTGTCACATGAGAACTTCTTATATGATTTTTATAAGTTCAAGGCCAGTTCTGAATCAGCCTTCAATCTGAACACAAAGCCAGGTCTGAATGCTAGTCAGGCCTAAAACACAATCTGTGGCCAGGTCGACAGCATAGAAAAGGTCAGAATCAGATCCACCTGAGATTGATAGGAGTGTTCTGCTTCAGTGTTTTTTGTTTAACTCGTTCAGGACATACGATATTTAGATCATGATTTTGTGAAACTGGGTGTGAACAGTGGCTCTTCAGGCCTTCTATAATTGGCTTCCTGGTAAACAGTCTTAGCAGAGGAATTATGTATTGAAAAGTTATGGACTGTGATTTTTTTTTCTTGCCTATGGAGTGGTTCCTCTGTTACGATGGAAGCATGCTAGGTGTGTGGTTTGGAAGCATACTTGGATGGTGTTAATGAGGTTGGTCTTCAGAACTATATTTTCCTTTTGTAGATAACACATATGTGTCCAGTTCAGACAACGATGAAGATGTGTTAGTTACCACAGAGCCAATCCCAGTAATTTTCCAGAGAATTGCAACAGGTAACGTTAAGAGTAATGTGTGCTTTGTCAAGTTAATGTTTTGTGCAGGAATTCAAGATGTGACCCATACATAAAATGTGATATGTCAATACACATAGCTGCATAGTTATTTTCTCACAAATTTATTGTTGGGTATTCATATGCATTTCAGAATAGAAGCAATTAAAATATTTATTTTGGTGATCAATGCAATCGTGTCTTTAGAATGTGTTGTCATTCTCTGAATGGTTTGCAATATGTGCTGAAGCTATTCTTTTTGAATACTGTGCTATGCACTTGTTTATTATTAAGGTGTTCAGAATTGTAAGAATTCATATTCAGTTGCTTACAACTTTGCTAAAATTTAATCATTAAAGTTGACATTTTTCGTGCAAGATCTCTACCTCAGAAGTTTTTTTAATGGAAAATATGAACCAAAATGATTCAGTGGTTTCTGATGATCAGAATAGAGGGAAAAAAGTTATGACAGTGGCAAAAATTCTGGTTCCCTTTTCATTTATAAGCTTTTTTTTCTTGCTTTAGAACAATATTTTACATTTTAGGCAGTGGGGGAGAGGGTGGTTTATGTTTCAACAATGTGTCTTGCTATCCCCATAAAAATGTGGACAGATTTTCCCAGGTTTACAAGCTTTTGAAAAATCAGTTTGTAACTGCTTGGTAGAGATGTCTTAGATTTTTTTAGTAACTAGGCTTCCTAAAGATAGCAGAAATAGTCTGCCAGGCAAGCTTTATTCTTGCCTATTTCAGAGAGATGCCTTGAAACATTCTGATTTAGAAATTTGATGTGTTACCCTAACTCTAGTTTACAGATTAAGAAAATGTAAGAAAAACAAGGCTCTGACAAACTAGCTGTTGGACAAATTGAACTTATTTTGTATTCTAGAACCTGAGGTGTGTTCATTTCTTATTTTTATAATACTAGATTGCAAACCTTTTGTCACTTTTCAAAAGCTGCTTAGCCTCTCTTTTTGTCTTGTGTTTCTGAAGTGCCTAGAATAATGGAGTCCTAGTCCTTAGTCAGGACTTGTAGGTAATGCTGCATTTCTAGTCTCCTCCTACTCTTCAGTGTAGATAATTCAGTTCTGCTTTTTAAATTACATTTACAGCATGATTTTAGATTTTTCACAGTTATTAACTGTTTTTCTCTTTCATTTAATTTCTTTTTTTAGAATTAAAGAAAACCAGTGATGTCAATTGCTGCTTATCTATAAAATCAAAATTACAGAGGGAGAATGGAGAGGTGAGCAATATCTTCCTCAACGGGGAGATTAACAGACTACAGAGCATAACCACATTTGCAGTTTGCTGTGGACATCAAAATCATTCCTGTAGTTTTGCATAGAGGCTATTAAACCTGGGGAAGTGTTTTTATCCAGCTAGTAAACACCATTGGACTACCTCCAGAACTTATATCAGGGGTGCAAAAAATACAGCCTGTGGGCTGGATCAGGCCCACTAACTGATTAGATTCAGCCTGTGGGCAGGTGTTCGCCAATTGATTTGGTCTGATCTGTGGCTGCCCCTGCAGCACTCCGCATGGGGGCGGAGGTGAGCCCCACTTGCTCCCACCTGTGGCAGCCCTCACCCCGCTCCCACCCATGTCCACTAGATGGTCTCGGCCCCAGCCAGTGCACAGCTTCCCAGCAGAGCTACTGCCAGCCTTGCTCACCATCTATATGTGCATTGTGGCAGAGTAAATAACTCTGCCATAGGATAGTACTTGTGTCGGGCAGTACTATCCTATGGAAGAATTCATTAGTTTACCCCAGACTAACAGGGGTGCACATGTAGATGGTGACACTTTACTGTGGAGCTAATTAGTCAACTACAGTAAAGCATCTCATGTAGGTGCACCCAGTATGTTTGAATTTTCATGGTGCAGACTCTAAACTCTTCTAGATAAAGTGGGCCCCAGGGAAAAGACTTCTTTTAATAAAAATCTTTAAGATGGACCATTTCTGTTTGTCAGAAAATCATACATTTTATTTTATCATGTGATTATATCTTATAGGATGGTTTGCACTCTTTTAAAGATTTAGGGGTTTTTTTGCACTGGGATGTTTCCATCTTCATTTGGTTTCTGTTTTGCAGCATGTTTTTCCTTGAGCTGGGTTGTTATTAAATAAAGTACACTGAAGTATTTTTTTCAATAAAGTAACAGCAAAAAATGATTTTTATGTCATCATAAAAAATGTTGTGAAAATGACTGAAAATATGATTTTCATTCTGTTTACACATGCACAATATACTGCATGAATACAGAAGCCAAAGTAAGGCAAGAAACAGGATTAAAATCTCATGCCATAAGGAACTGAAAGAATATCTGATTTTTTATGAATCTGTGAGGTTGAGAGGAATATTCTCCTTATTGATTCATACAGATGATTTCTGTTCCGGTAAGAAAATTCTGTACATGCTATGTATATATAGTACATAATATAAAACAAAATTATCTATTAAACAAGACAAATGTGTTTTTATGGCTTTATCATGTCCTAATTTATGGTAGTTTCTTGGTAACATTTAGGCAATGAATCACAAGTGGATTATGGGACAACAAGTATGAAGTCTTTCTTTAAACAATTGTATGATATTAAGAAAACACTCAGTTTTTAGGACTAGATTGCGATATCTTGTTTCAACTGATTAGCATTAGGGGTATGTGAAATGGGTCATATTCGATTCGGATTTGGGCAACGGGGGTGGGGGGGGCCTGCACGCTCCCTGGTGGACCCAGAAGTGGACCGGAAATGCTTGTGGTCCACTTCTGGGTCTGCTACCAAGCATGCTGGGGACCCCCACGTGCTCCTGTGGGACACTCCATCTGCCCCACCATCTCAGCATTCACAAGCATCCTGGCACCTTGAGGTATATAGAAAAAACATTTAAAGCTGTGTCTATATTCAAATTGCTGAATCTTTCTGAATCGATTTGGAGGGTTCTGATTCGATTCAGAGAGATTAGAGGGTCCTCTGATTCAGTTTGGATTCAGAGATTTGGCCACCGAATTGGGCCAAATTGCCACTGAATTGAATCAGGGACCGAAGCTTCGCATAGCCCTAATTAGCGTGTTCCTCCATGATTAGTCCTATTGACTTAAATATAGTTTCTAATAATAAAATAAGCTACTAAGTGAATTACTTAGGGTCAGACTCTAGTATCTATACCTAACTAGAAGATGCCTAGATCTACTGAGAAAATTATATTTGGTCTTTTCTGGTAAAGTCTAACCACTTTTATCAGAATGGAGGTTATTAGCAGATGTGACAGGGAGTCCTGTATGAAAAATGATCTGAGCTAGGAACTCAAGACTTCCCTGGTCTTGAGACTACCATATAAGGCTTTTAATGTTGTTTGTTGCTACCGATGCATAAATAGAGGCACTTATAATTGATTTTCCAGAATACAGTAAGTTTGTGTCCTGTAAGACCATTAGCTGAGATTTAAAATTAATTAATTGCAGAACCTTTGTTGTGAATGAACAAAACAATTTAAATTCAGTCTGATCATACAGGACTTGATTCCGATAGCTTTATTCAGCAGCCAGATTCCTGTTTCCCTGAGTGTTACAGCTTGGTTTATGAAGATCAATCTATTTTATTTAACCTAAGCAGTCTTAATGTAATATCCACCCAGAACTCCACAGGATAGCATCTAGCAAAGATACACAACTATTTTCCATACTCAATTAGTGGGAATTTTGCTATTGATTTGGTGGTTGTCAAATCAAACCTATAATACCATCTCCAAAAATGTTGTTTGAAATCTCTTTCAAAGAACTGTGTGAGGTGTTTGAGAAAGAAAGAAAAAAAAGTCATTCTGCTATTATTTTCTGTTTGTTTTTTTAAATAAGGAGTCAAGACACAATAGTGCAGTTGAAGAAGATTCTGAAGGAGATAATGACTCTGAAGAGTTCTATTATGGTGGACAGGTAAGGATGAACATTTCCAACAAGTTTAAAGCTAAATATCTTGCAGACTTCTGTGCTTCATGACATTTGGGATGTAGGATGTGATCTAAGACCATGTAATTTGCATTTTGTATTGATGTTCAAATCTGGACAATGTAAAGAACAGGGCAACTAGCTATAACTTGGCGGTGCTCAAAAATGGAATCTGTCTTACCATTCCCAGAAAATAAAGTATTTGCTCTCTAAAACAGATCTCCTGTTGATATAAATGGAAGCAAGAATGAGCCCTAATTTGTTTTCTGTCGCTGTAAAGTAAAATCAACAACATTGCATTTCAATGGTAAAAATAGTTGTTGCACAGTTATTATGATCTAGGGCTCTACAGCATAATTCACCTTGAAAAATGCTGATTATTTTTTTTTAAATTAATTGTAATGCTTAGTGTCTTTTCATCCTGTTCCCTCAGCAGAATTCATTATTATCGCATCCCGTTATGTAATCAAAATGAAATTGTTCTCTTCATACCTATTCCTTTTGAGACATCAGTATGAACATTTAAGCAGACTACTTTATTTACTCAGCTTTTGGAACTTTGCCTTGCAAGTATTGTCTAAAAGGAATAGCTCGTCTTTTGTGTTGGTAAAATCACTTGTTTATAACAAAATGGAAGTAAATCCCTGTAGGTGCTCATGAAAGTAGTTACCTCAACAGCTCTGACACTGAATATGCAGAGGTCAAGCAGCACCGGTGGTACGTTCCCCTGCAATGTCCAGTCTGTAGTACACTGCTTGCAGATGAACAGGACACTCTCTAGCACTCTAGTTTTGCAAAGTAGCTGGCACACTGATTTAGAGAACCAACAATGTTCTATGTGTTTTACGCACATGTGTAAGCATAGGGTTACACAGAACTGTTCTGTGAGCAAAGTTATGGTTTAGTTTTGATGTCAGAAAATGGTCGGTTAGGGTGCCAATAAATGTTAGCGATATGCATAGGATTTAGAGGATGAGGACACCAGATCATTCTATAAGGTACAGAATAGCTGTTAAACGCTAATGTTTTTTCTTGGATTATTTTTTGAGCAAGTAACCTTACATTATGTTACACTGTATATTTTTAATGTACCAAGAAGTGGTGGCAACATGGTTAATATGCCTTTCTACCAGTCCAGAGGCATGAATTCAGGCTAGCTGTAACTGAGACCTGCTCACTGAGGCTTTAGAGTCAAAGGCAGGCAGACATTGTGCTAGTCATATTGTTCCCCTGTGTGCCACTGGCTGTAAAAACTGTCAAGCAAAGAATATAAGAGAAAGTCAGCAATAAAACTCAACAATCACTCGCAAAAATAAAACAATGAGCAACCAAACATCATGAGTGAAAAGAGGAAAGACTGTAAGAGATTGTTAGAAATATCATTAATAGGAAGAAGAGAAATAGATTTTGAGATAAGGTTTAAAACAGCGTGACCAGAAATACAAAGTGAATTTTAAAGAGTTCTGTCTCCGTGCCTGCAATAAGAAAAGGCATGAAGAAGTAAAGCAATGGAAAAACTGTGAGAGGAATAAAGGGAGCATATAGGATGGCTGGTAATACAAGAAGCCCCTTAAGAGTTTTAAGTCTTTTAAATGAAAGTGGGTTAATTTTGAAGTAACTGCAGAGATGGAGAGGAAGACAATGGAATGAAGGCAGATTAAATAGTTGAATAGATATGCAGGGTATAGATAACAGGCTGCATGGTTTGAAATCAGTGATTTAAGTGCCTTAAGTGGGGTTTTGGAACATAAGCCTATATAGCATTTTAGAAGTAAAGGTATAACATTCTGAGTATTTGAACCAGAACCTTTTCATTATCAAAAGCAAGGAAAATGTAGATACATTTAGGCGATGATAAATGCCATTTTAGCAAGATGGGAAATACAGATGGAAATAAAATCACCATTCAGCGGTAGCCCTGACATTTTTATGTGGGAATAATGAGAAGTGAAAGGGTGACAGTGGAAAATAAGAAAGGGTTTGGGATGGATGGTGAAGGAGAGACACAATATTTTGTTACTAAGTGAAAATATTTTATCTCCTCCCAGTCCTATGTACATAATTCCTTCAAAGGATGTATTGGGTAAATATTTTATAGAAGTGTAGTAATTTTGTAACCTAAATTCTATGGATTTTCACTGGGGTTTAGGCATGTAAACCACTTAATCTCTTGTTAAAATGCTACCTAGTATCTTTATGTAGACAAAAGAAATATGTATTGTGCTTCAGATTTAAGTTTGAGACTTTCTAGAAGCTTTGTAGATATGGCAGAGTTTTCATATCTTTTAGCTTTACTACTCCCTCTCTTGGAGAGTCTTTGTTAGGTCTTCCTTTGAATTTCTGTATTTTTGCTAATTGCAGATCAGGAATTGTGTTCTTACTTGTCCTAATACAGAGTACATCTGCAGATGCTCATGTACAAAACTTCCAGTCACTTCTGCACATTCGTAAATGTGGCTGGAGTTCTATTACAAGGATGGAAACACCCTGTAGATGTGTGTCTAGTACAGTGTTCTTCTTTGCCAACATGCAGGGAACATAACATGATCTACCCTCTCCAGTCCTTACCTACCCACTGTTAGAAAATGCAATTATATTGAGCAGCCAAACATCCTGATTATTCTAGTTGGATTTTACTTATTATTGATACAGTAGCTTGACCCTGAATTACCATCTTGGGGGTGGATAGGGGAGTTTGCAGCAAAAGAAAGTTCTGATTCAGTTTTCCTTCTGCATAAAACTGGAGTCCATAATTATCAGTACATCGCTTCAGGATTTATGTTGGTTAAACAACCCTGGAGTGAAAGTGTGGTGTCACATTTTTTTCTTTAAAAAAAGTTAGTCTTCTCATGTGAAATGGAAATTAAATCTAAAGTAAGGGTTTTTGAGTTATTCCAGAGCAACACTCTGGGATAACTATTTCTGATTAACTGTCTCTGAATTAGTCAACTCACAAAGTAGATTAAGCTCTTTCAGAATAAGAATGGGCTCTTCTGCAAGACGTTACATTGGATACTTAACAGGAAGATCTCCCTCCTACCCATCTAACTCCAAAGTACTCTCTTCTTGGGTGTGGAGGACACTTGATATCCTATAATCCTTTTCCCTCCCTCCCTCCCTCCCTCCCTCTCTCCAAGGCTACTCTGGGTCAGCCTGCAGCAGTTTGAGGCATGTTGTCATGCCATGCAACAGAATGCTCCCTCACCCCCCTACACCACCACCCCTGCACTCCTGGTTGAACCAGAGGCATGCAAAGAGCGAAATCAGGAGGGTTCCCACCACGGAATAATGCAGCCCCCATCCCAATGCAAGGAGGAGAATGTTCTCCTGGGGCTGGGACCCTCTCTGGGATGTCTGGCAACTGTTGCTTTTCAGCCCCTACCAACTGCCAGTTGACACCCTGGCAGGAGAGAGAGCAGGCAGTCAATTAATAGGTTCTCCTAAAAGTGACAGTGGCACAGGGAACAGCTCTGTGTAGCTCACCAGCCCAGAGACTGGAAACTATGTACACTCCAGCTCCCAAGCCGTTTTTCTACTGGTAAGAGTTTCAGAAATGAATTCCTGTCCATAGCCGTTATCTTTTAAATTCACATCCATTCATAATCTGAATTACCATTCCCTTGTAGATAAGCCCTCAGGGTGAGTTTAGAAGAGATCCTCGTTTCTTCTTCTTGAAGAAGAAGGATTTGTGGGTGAGAGTCCTGAAACCCGTAGCTTACTCATTTTCTCCCTGACTGCTGCTTCTGTATGACACAGCAAAATGCCCAACACCCAGGAAAAGCAATTTTTCTTACTTCCCTGGAGTGGGACCCAGTTTCTTCAGTACGGGGGCAAGATCAGAACTCCTTCAAGAGCATCATCATCCATTTTTTTAAAATAACTCTGATTCCTTAGTTTATGTCCCTCACCTTCATAGATGTGGTAGTACCTCTGGGAACCCTGTGCTACTGTTACACAGCTGAATTGGTGCTCCATATTTTTTTTTATGAATTCTAAATGTAATCAAATTTATCCTTGGCTAATTTTCATTTGTAAAGGGGAATCAGATAACTACTATTTAATTAAATTGAAAATGTCAAACTTGATAGAGACTACTGTTTCTCAGAAGTAGGGTCCTAGTGCATATAGAACTCTGTACTTGCAAAACAGAGTGCAACCTTGGATGTTCACATTCCAATCCTATAGCTGTCGCACCAGGTCTCAGTGATGCCAATTAGATTGTAGTTCTTTTCACAGCCTTCAGTTTCCAGTTCATCTTGTTTATTACCCATACTTACTACATTTGTATTTCTCCATGGAATGTATTTTGCATTTTCACCTCCTCATTTCCTTTTTCTGCCACTAGTGGTCCTGTAGCTCTATGGCCTTTTCCTAGAGTTAAGTTGCTTCTTTGAGTCTTTTCCCCTCTAGACTGCATGCTCCATTGCTGAACAGTTTTGGTCATCATCCCCTGTAAAACCAGTCCTCTAGCTGCTCATTATGGATCATTTTGGAGCATGCTCATAAACCTAAGTGTAGGTGTGTTTAGCCAGAATGGAGGCTTTCTGTGCATTTTTACAGCTACTGGAGCAAGGTTAATTTTTTTTTCTAATTTTTTTTACATTTTGGTAAGGTCCCATTTAAGGCCCTATTTACTGACTTGTATCCAGCCTTTAGGTATGTTTAAACATGGTGAATCTGGTATCAGATATTTTCTAGTTCTTGCCCACTTTCCTAGTTCATGCATCTTATGCCTCCTTTGTCTCATTTTTACATGTAATGTGTTCAAGTTTTGTTTTTATGCTCCTGTTGCAATTCATACTAGGGACTTAAGTGCCTCATTGCCTTAGAGAAACTAGATATATTAGATGGTCACAAACTACACCTAACACACCAACGGCACTGTAAACATCCACAAAATTGCCTCATTGTTCTCCTTCCCTACGTAGATGTCATAGATACCCAACCCTATTATACTTCTAAATGTTAATGTGATACTTTATAATGTTTAGGCATCTAAATGACTCTATGCCTACATCTAGATCCATCCTGTGAACAGCCATAAAGCTTCTGAGATGTCTATACTCCCTATATACATCTATTTTGGCCTGTAAAGGTCCCTAGGCAGATAGACATGAGCTATTACACATGTTCATATGTGATCCAGAACAGCTAATAGACATCTAAATATAACAGTGCTCAGTTGCTATAACAGTGCTCTAATTATACCAGTGCTCAGTTCCCATTCTAGAAAATACATCACCTCTTCATATGCCCATGAATCTTAAACAAAGATAACTACTGTTTAACAACAACATTGTGTCGAGTATGGGAGTACCAAACCTTTTGCCCAGTAGCCTCATGATTAAGATGCTTGTTCAGAAAATGGGAGATCTGGTTCAAGGACCTTCCTCACTGTGAGAGCATTTCAATCTACATCTAATTCTCAACAGAGCAGTGTAACTACTAGGCTATGGGGTAGGCAGAGCTGGGAACATCTTCCATCTCTTTAGGCCAGGGGTTTTCAGCTGGGGGTATACGTACCCCTGGGAGTACTTGGGAAGGCCTTAGGGGGTACTTGGCAATGGGTGCTGCAGCCATTTCCACCTCCACTGCACTGCTGGCACTTCCGTCACCAGCACTTCCACCACTGACACTTTCGCCACCACTGGAACTCCCCCCCTGCTTGTCGACTGGCTGCCGGGGGTACACTATCCCAAAAAGGTTGAAAACCCATGCTCTAGGCCACTGTATGGAAAAGAATGAGAGTCATAGGATCTGAAGGAGAGCAAGCAGGAGGAGCCTAACTGTAGTCCACAAAAGCGAGCATTGTCCTTGTTGAAAGCAGGGAATCTTAGATTCTGGCCTCTGCTCCAACTTGAATAAAACAGTGCTTGCATTTGGCATATTACAGCTATTTTGCTATCGGTGAATGTAAAATTATTCAGTCATATTTTCTTTCTACAGGTTAGCTATGATGGAGAGCTCCACAAGCATCCACAACTGGAAGCTGATTTGACAGCTGTGAGAGAGATCTATGGACCTAGTGCAGTATCTCTCAGGTACATCATTTTACTGGGTCAAATTCTGACCAATTCTGTGTCTTGGAGAAAAGCAAAAATCGGTAACTAGCAGCATGAACTTGGAGAGTAGAAACTAGTTTGCTATTTTCCAGCATCTTTAATATGTTGCAGATAGATTTTTCTGCACACTTTACATCACCTTTTATACCAGTGATTCCCATACTTTTTATATCTGAGGAACACTTTTCTTCTGATTAAAATTGGTGGCACATTTTCTGAATTTCACAGCACCCCAGTGGAGAATCACTGAGATGGATCTAAATTCAAAAAGAGATATGGAGGGAAGCCATGTGGCTAAAGAAGTTAAAAATCATTGATTTGCTCAGGGGCAGGCAAAATATGGCCCTGTGGCCGGATCCGGCTCACCAGGCACTTTCATCTGGCCTGTGGGTGCCCAAGTATATACCGCCTGTGGCAGGGCACTGTGCGTGTCTGCCACTTTAAGGGCCTGGTGCTGGCAGCCACCAGGTGCCTGGTGGGGGCAGCCATTTTGGAGTCAGGGGCTGTCTATATAAACAGGGCAGTTTGGCTGCTGGAGGCCAGGCAACAACATTGCCTGGCCGGAAGGCTGCTGAGATCATCTGGAGGTAAGGGAGGAGCTATAGGGGATGGTAAGGAGGCTCCTGGTCCTGGTCCTGACCTAAAACTGCATCCTGCCAGGAGTGGGTGGCCTGGTGGGGCTCTCAGTGGCGTGGGAGCCCCCAGGAAATGCCACGCCAGTTACCACCCTGGTGAAAGGCGGGTAAGGGTGCCTTAACCCCTAGCCCCCACCACCGGGTGGGTAACCCCGTTTGTGTGAAGGGCCCAGAGGGCAGACCCCAGGAGAGAGAGAAGGGCTAAAGACTCAACCTGATCAAGAGAGTACCCTCAACTGGCCCATGCTGGGGCCAGGACCAGAATGGTCAAAAGGGCCAGGGGCCCACGGCCAGGGACGCCCAAGAGCCAGGGGCCTGGGGTCCCCACTGTCCTGGAGGTGGGCCAGGGCTGGTAGCCAAAGGTTCCAGGGGGACCACACCTGAGAGGGGAACAGAGTTTCAGGGAGCTAGGTAGCCTGAATGAAAGCAGGGTAGGCCGCCTGAATGGAGGGATCATGAAGGGGTCCTGTTAGGAGGATTCTGAGGGCTCAATGTGGGGTCCGGTGATAACGAGAACACCTAGATGCCATCTGCGAGGCTTGGGCTGCGGTATAGGGGAGGAAAGGAGCCGCAGAGAGCGCCCCCTGGCATCGGGGCAGCAAAATGGGTAGCCTCCCACTTAATTGATATCAATTAATTAATCAATTCACATCAAGGCGTGGCGGGCGAGAAGGTGGGTGGTTGGCCCAAGAACAGGGGGGCGGGCCACGGAGATCGGCCCCAAGCAGGCCCCCTGATACACCCCCCAATATACCCTGTTGCATCTCACTCCCACCCTCATGGGTGGAAGGGCCTAGCCCAGCCAGGGGGGGCCCCCCCCTGCCACTGCTGCAGCTGCCCCAGGGGGACCTGCTTGACTTCCCTGGCATCCCGCTTGCTCCAGGCAGGTAGGGAGGCGGCGGGGGTGGGGGCAAGGCAGGGCGGAGGGGAGCTTCAGCTGGGTGGAGGCAGGAAGCGTGGGGCTGGGGCTGACAGCAGTGTCCCATCCCCTCATAAACCCCCCACACCCCCCCACAAACACACCGCCCCACACCCTGCCATATACACATCCCCATCCGAACCACACCCCACACTCCCTACACACTATATACAAGAGTAAGACTTAATTTTTGCGTTATTATGCAATCTCCTCTATATACAGTATGCAAACACAGATCATGACAAATATATTTTTTAATAAAATTAAAATCTGTTATAGTAGAAGTTTGACTTTTAGTGTATGATTTGGTTTTTTTCTGGTTCCAAGATGGCAACCCTCCCCTGGCTTAGGTGGACATGATAATGGAAATGGCTGTCAGAAGGAGAACGTTGATTAATTGGTCTCCATGGCCAACAGTGAAAAGACAAGAAGAAATAAGTTTAATTTGCGGCAAAGAAGACTTAGGTTGGATATTATGAAAAAAAAACCTGTCTAACATTAAGGGGATGAAACAGTAATACCGTCTACCTCAAGATGTTGTGTAATCTCCTGCATGGGATGTTTATAAGAACAAAATAGACAGATCTCTCTTGGGGATGGCCTTAGGTATCCTTGAACTTTCTTTAGTAGTTCCTGGGGGAGGGGTGTGTGGCAAGGGGAGGGGTGTGTGGCAAGGGGAGGGACTTAAGGTGGCAAAGGTCAGGGGCTAGGGGGTGGGACTTCTGATCCCAATATGGCAATCAGGAAGTGGGGCTACCCATGTGGCCCTCAACAGCTCACCAGAATTCATTAGGTGACCCTCCAGCCAAAATAATTGCCTGCCCCTGATCTAGCTGGTGCCACTTAAGGGCTGCCGGGGCAGGACCTTACCCTACTGTGGTCTGTTCTTTCTACTCTTTGTCCCCCCTCGTGATCCCTGGTCTGTACCTCAGGGGGCAAGAACTGCTGCTCAGGCTGTTCCTGCAGCGTATCACATGTCAGTGATCACCCCCATAGGCCCTCCTGCCAGTCCGAGGAGCATAGGGGGAGTAGAAGGGATGAGCCAGGCTGCAAAGCATGGCTCTAGCTGTGGCTTCATCTGGAAGGGTGGTGGAAGGCAGCAGCAGCAGTGGTCTCCAAGGAGCAACCACAGGCACTGCTAGAGTAGCTGGGGCAGGTGCAGAGTGCCAGACAGCATTTATTTCTAACAGTATCTCACAGCACACTTTTGTCACTCTTGTGGCACACGAGCATGCCTCAGCAAACCCCTTAGGAATCACTGGTCTATACAAAGGGTCATGATTAGGAGACTAGCTCTTACAGGCTAAAGCAATGTGAATGAACACTATGAGTTAACAGTAATAATGTAGTACTCTGCTTTGTATTGTTGCTGAACTTACTAGTTCAACTGGGTCACTAGGAACAATTTCTTCAAGCCCAGCCTTCCCAACAGTAAAGTCAGGACCAGTGGACTTCATTGGAGGGTTGGACTGTTGTATTTTGTTTACAGTTATTGTTCAGTAGCAACTTACTGTATTTAATGTGACCCTGAATTTAAGACAATCCCCCAATAATTAGATTCTATACATTGAAAATATAAATTTGTTTTAATTTCCCCCACCCGCAGCCTCAGGCCCTCCCTTCCCCCTCAGCCTCTGCTTTCCCCTGCCCCCAGCCTCTGCTCACCCCCTCCCCCATAGCCTGTGCTCCCCCTTCTCCTTCCCTTTGCTCCATGCCAGCAGGCTCCATCCATGCGGCAGCCTAGGCCCTAGGCATGGCCCCAGCCCAGCTCCCCATAGCAGCCATGCAGGCTGTGTGCCACTGCTAGAGGCCAAGTTGGGTGTCTGCTCAGTGCACCAGGCTGCAGCATGGATGGGGCCTGTCAGTGTGGAACAAGTGTAAGGGGGGGAGGGCACGAAGGGAGGGAGAGGAACAGGTGGTGGACCAGGGGATGCCAGGGGGGGGAGAGAAATG